TTAATGATTTCAGAACACAATTACAACTCTTACAACTCCGCAAACTTGCCACTGGATGTCCGCGTCAGGTTAGAATCTACTGTACAGGAAATATGCTATGATATCCTGCTTTCCCACTGAGCTGCTTTCACCTAGGGCAATGTATCTACCCTTAACTTCATTGAAAGACTCAAGGAGAGACTAGATGTTGTGGCATAAGTGATCGTTCCAAGAAGTATTCATGTCTCCCACGATAGACTTATTTATGACGTTTGTTGTTGACCACGTCCATATGCCAAATCCAATCGAAATCCTTGTAGAAACCCTCGGAATGAGAAGATATCCTGACTATCTGGGGAATAACCAGTAATTGCTGGAAAATGTTTGAAAAAGTTTGGTTGGATTATGGCGGAATTGTTCAGTTTGGAGTTCCATTCTTCATTCGCTTTCCGCATCAGAAGGGCAAAAATCTAATGAAGCATATCCTCTTGGATGTTGGATCAGAGAAACGGCTTCTTAAGTCTCACTCAGAGAGATCTTTTGAGGATTCTATTACTGTTATGAACGGCTGTCCTAAAGATGGTGGTGTAGTGATAAGTGGAACACTTCACGGCTAGGAATCCCGGTTTATCGGCTTAGGCAACCCAAGCCTTCCATTTCTCTAGGGTCGGTCATTCGGTAACAGACTCGCCTAGGAGGATATGAGCACTGACTTGTACATCGGTTGGCCACCGCAAAGTCACTGTATAAGCCACATACGCATTCAGTACGCTACTACGATTCTTAATGGAGGTCGAATGCGTGGGCGCATCCTTCAGGCGGGATTGATTAAGTCCCATGGCCTTATCCAAGATCTTTGTCCCAAAGCGTTGATGGAAAATAGGGAGCCGTACCCGAGGTTACCATTGAAATATAGTGTAACTGGAAACTAGTGAGGATAAGTAGAGCAAAAGAAAAGCCGGTTGGAGTGTTTGCATACGACAGAGTGATACATCAAAAGATAACAGCTTGGTGCCTGTTGGTATGGTTTCTCAATCCGAAACTGCTCATTCCTGATAAAGGACGTTAAAGTAAGAAGGGTTTGAAGGTAACTCGTACACGATGTTGACTGAAGTGAACTTTATGAGCCGAAATGAACACTCGCCTTATATTTTCTTTGAGAGGTGACATTACAGGTATGTCTTTCTAGTTGTCTCGAAAACTAACCACTGGGCTTGAACGTTCACGAAACGGATTACAAAGTCCCGTGATTACTGTGTGATTTGTTGTACAGTAATCCGAAGACGTTCAAGGGACTCTATATACCCGTCACATATTCGACGCAACAAAAAGGAACCCTGGATGAGGCCCACGGGTGTGCAGTGGGGCACTAGGAGGGTTCCTCTACCACGCGTTCACGGGACATTCAAGTCCTTTCACTTGAACGTTCATACTACTGACTTGTGGTACCTGAAGTTCATTTCTTGAGCGTTCTCGAAAAGGAGTAGAATACTCGAATCCAATAGTTGGTTGCAGTAAGACAGGACTGAGCAGGCATGGGATAAAAGGAATAGAGGAGATCGACGAACTATGTAGCCTTGGAGGTGAAAGATGTTGCTGATCCTACAGTACCGGAGCTTTTGAAGTTGGAAATTCAGCATAAGTTCAAATTAATGATATTGAGCTCTGATTATCTTCCCAGATATCATAACGATTCACACAGCACTTGTTTAAGGGACAACATGTTTTAATCGACAAACAATGGTACGACGTGGTAGAAAGGGATGTGCTGGCGTTTAGATGTAGAAGGACTTGGGTAATGCGACAAGGAAGGGTAGAGTAACATTGAGCTCTAGAAATTAAGGCCCCAGGGTAACATCATGATTCTTGAACCTGGGCACCTCCTGGATATTTTCATGATCGCCAGCTCCAGACGTTCACCTTAAAGTTCTTTTCAATTATATATCTCAGACAATACTAGCACTTCGAGAAAGTTCGTTTCTTTACTTTGTTTTTCACGGCTGCTCGTCATGAGGTGATAAGGAAGCCAACAGTTGAGGGGCCAAAGTGATTCATTGAGGTGATGCAGTTGAAGGCGCAGCTGGCGATCGTTCAAGTTGATATCCACCCCCACGTCAACTCACTTATCTGAAAGAAGCAGATTGAATGAGATCTGGGGTAGTAAAAGCACTAGAGAAAAGTCACCTTCTCTCCAGTTTTTTTTTNTTTTTTTTTCAAAAGTTCCAATATTCCAATAATTATCTAAGATAGCAGTCGCTGAGGGAAATGTAAATGTTATCTGATGAAATGACTTTCGATTACAAATTTGATTGTCAAAAGTAACCTGCACACTTCAAAAAACTCCTAAATATCTTGAAATAGGTGATAAATTTGGGTAATAAATTAACATTAGTAGAACCACGTCAAAGACTTTCGGGAATCGCATTCTATCCACAACAACAAAAGCTCTCATCTAGGTGGATTGAATGACTTTCTCTTTGCTGCGGCGAGTGATAACAGGGGATAGATACGTCCATAAAAAGAGAGCAGGAAACTCTATCGCTCCCCTCACAACAAGGAAGTTTTTTATTTGTGAGAGGAGTGGTTTCTCAACCATAGTGAATCCACGACATGGGAAAAGCAATCAGCTGTCTAAGTCTGAATGGTGTTTTGAAATTTGTAAATTCGTACTGACGGCAACGAAGTGTAATAAGAAAAACTGCCGTGAAAGCTAACATTTAGGATCCTCCCCAAGGAGATTCTCCTGATCATATCAGATGAAATTACTCTGGATGGCTTGTGGTGCCAGCAAGATATTACAGTGAATCTGTTATATAGCTCTTAAACAGTCTGTTTACTGTACGAGAGATTTTCTGGTAGTGGAGTAGCCCTAATCCTTTGTACTTTACGTGCCGATGCAAAAACGACTAGAAAAAGCTGTTTTTTCTGGGACGGATCTTACTCGAACTTAAGGAGCCCTGCCGAGAGGAAAGGAGACGCCGACTGATCGGGACTTTCCCAGGTGCTTCTCTGTCCCAAAACGTTGATTCAAGCATTTCAAAGCGAGATATTGGCTTTTTTAGGTTCTCCAAGCCCTAGGCTGGTACTTGTTCTAAACAGACATAGCTTTCCTCTATACACGAGATGATGCATAGAGTTTAAGCTTCACTACTCACCATCATATTTAGAAATATAGTAATTCCCACCATCTCCAGATTGAAGAAGACGGTACGACAGGTCACACAACTTCTTAAGCAATCCTTTTACTATCTGAGGAAGTTCCTGGTAGCGTACACTTCCATTCAAAGATCAAGATAGGCTACTTGGATCATGTAATTCTACACCATCGAGTTACTTTTCATAGGATCACTTGAAACCCCTCATCAAGCCCATTATCGTAACCTATCATTCCGAACTTGTAAAATCCCATGATCAAAGGGGCCAAAGACCGTCACCATCTCGAGCCAAAGACCTCTTTTAACAAGTCCATATTCAATTGTGGAGGATATGAAAAAGCAGTACAGTATAGTAGCTGAGAGAATCGTTTTCTGAACTTGGAAAGCCGAGCTGTGAACAAGGTTCAAAGCAAGGTGGCCTTACCTCCTGATCATCTTGACCTGGGTTCCTTCCCACACTTTTACACCCTTGCCGGGTAAATCCATGTTTTCCTGTAACAAGGACAGATACTTTGGAAGCAATCGCCATAAAATCGTCTGTTCCAATGTTCAAATGACTGA